CCTATCCTCATAGGGCATGTGTAGAACAAATCTGAAGCCCCCTACCCTACCAAATCACCATTTATGACGTAAGCAGCATGACGTTTCTCGCCTTGACGTAAGCCGTTTCCACCACAGGTTATGATTTCGTGGGCTTTTGCTTTATGCATACTTCATTAATATTAATTAACATTCTAAACAACTATTTTTTAGATCTCGTTTGCATCTTAATTTCTATTTGTCTATAATGTCAATCAAAATTAAATGATATTTTTCATCATAAATTCAAATTCTAAACTACTACTGTTGACGCAAACAACTGACGTCGCTGAAAAGTTAGTTGATGACGTCAGCAATGGTGATACACCAATTTGGCGGAGATTACCAAAAACGAGGCCGATAAGCAATCCTGAGTGGTGTGTATTATCCTTGGGCCGAATTCTAAAACTGTCAAATGCTGTCAAAGTGTCGAATAACCACTACCTTGCGATTTGCTGAGACTAGGAATGAGGCGCAAAAATCGATTTATTTATGCCACCGCAGAGACTGGGAATGGGACGCAAAAATTAATAATTTTACGCTTTTTAAAATATCAGAGAATATGGGACATTTACGCGTCCCGATAAGAAATCTAGGGACGCGGGACATGCACGTTGAAATAAGGGACTGTCCTGTATAATACGGGACGAATGGCAGGCTTAATTGGTTATCGAATTCGAATTTTGGTTAGGTATTCCCGGCTCTTGATTGGGCGCTAGAAATAGCATTTTGAATATTCCCAGTTTTTGATTGGCTCTAAATTATCCGCTGACCAATAGAATTATAGACTGGGCCCCGGCCCTTCGGGCTGGTGAATAAAATAACTTTGGCCCTTCGGGCTCGTCTAACTCCGGCCCTTCGGGCTCGTATACCTTCGGGCTTGAGATTTGAAAAAAACATATGGCAACATTGCTTATGACACAACAAACGTCAAAAAATTGACATTTTCAAAGTAGGCCTTGTTTTCTTTGACAATCGATACAAAATGGCGTATTTTTGTTTCAAAGATTACGAGCCCGAAGTGCCGGAGTATTAAAATTAGTTGACAATGAACGAACTCGTATAACTCCGGCCCTTCGGGCTCGTAACCTAATTAAAATAACACCGGCCTTTCAGGCACGAAATTAAAAAAAAAAAAACATATGGCAACACTGCTTATGATACAACAAACGTCATCAAATTGAAATTTTAAAGTAGGCCTTGTTTTTTTGACAGTCGATACAAAATGGCGTCTTTTTGTTTAAAAGATTACAAGCCCGAAGGGCCGGAGTATAAAAATTAGTTAACAATGAACAAACTCGTATAACTCCGACCTTTCGGGCTCGTAACCTAATTAAAATAACACCTGCCTTTTAGGCTCGATATTTGAAAAAAACATATGGCAACACTGCTTATGACACTACAAACGTCAAAAAATTGACATTTCAAGTAGGCCTTGTTTTCTTTGATAGTCGATACAAAATGACGTTTTTTTATTGCCCTGTGGGCTCAAGATTGGAAACACTCTTGCCGTTCGGGCTCGTAATTGAAAAAAACACGCCATTTCGACCCTTTGGCGTCACAATGTTGTCAAAAGTTAAAAATTTTAGTTAGCCTACTACGAGGCTTGCAATAGTTAAAAGGGGGGGGGGGGGTGTACGCCGAAAAAACAACTTCATCTCAAAAAAAAAGAGAAAAAAAATCTAAGAATAACAGTGAAAACCGTACCCCTCTATGACAAATAATACCGAAGATATGGCTCTATGAAGGTACCGCATCTCACCTTATGACGTCACGAAAGCTCAAGTGACGCACCAGAAAGTGGAGTAAATTGAATTTACATATGCTTTTCCTGTGTCACCTGCTATAACCTAAACAAAAACCACTCATGCGTGCCGGGAACAATCAAATTAACAATGCGGAGCGCGGCTGGACGAATTTCTCGTGACGTCACACACACATTAAAGCAGTATATCTCAGCGATGGTTTATCGTAGAATAACGAGGTTTGAACAGTTATTCTTAGATTTTTTTACACTAACGGCTCTATGCAATATCCTCTAACTTAAAAGCGCTTTTTAAAACTGGTCACTTTTAAAAATGTGTATTCTAAACCATACAAATTTTTAAAGGTAGCAGTTTTAAAAAGCACTTTTAAGTTAAAAGAGGATGTTGCATACAGCTGTTAAACTTTAATTTTTGACGCACACCCCCTTCAAGGGGGCTTTGGCTTTTCAAGTTTTGATTGGTTATCGAATTCGAATTTTGAATATTCCCGGCTCTTGATTGGGCGCTAAAAATTGCATTTTGAATATTCCCAGTTTTTGATTGGCTCTAAATTATCCGCTGACCAATAGAATTATAGACTGAGCCCCGGCCCTCTGGGCTCGTGATTAAAATAACTCCGGCCCTTCGGGCTCGTATAACTTCGGCCCTTCAGGCTCGAGATTTAAAAAAAAAACATATGGCAACACTGCTTATGATACAATAAACGTCAAAAAATTGACATTTCAAAGTAGACCTTGTTTTCTTAGATAGTCGATACAAAATAGAGAGTTCTCGTGCCCCAGACGCTAAGCTAATACGGTACCGCTAACAATTTTCTAACTTATTATTTATCCTGAAGATTCTGAGTTTGATTAATTTTCCCTTGGTGTTTTTTATGGAGGAATTATTAGAAGTTGCTGTTCTTGCAGACGGAAATGGAGTGTAAACTAATTTTGACATAGCAAAACATTACGGTAAGGCATCCGCTAAGATCTGTTAGATAGCGGGCTCCCCTAACGCTTATACCGTGAGAACTGTCAAACTTGTCAAATAGCATTACGGTAATTGAAATTTGGACAGCAGGAGAACTCTCTAATGACGTTTTTTTGTTGCCTGTGAGCTCAAGATTAAAAACACTCTCGCCCTTCGGCCTCGTGATTAAAAAAAACCGCTATTTCTCTCTAGCGTCACAATGTTGCCAAAAACTAAAAAATTTTCTCCGCCTTACCATGAATTTGAAGCTCCGCAGCTGTGAAACTATTAAAGCTGCATCGAAACTTTAAATTATAGATTTGTATAGGATTCAATTGGCTTTAATTGAAGCCTATTTACAGCAAAATCGGTTAACAATTGATAGAGTTGTGAGCCAAAATACGAAACGATGACAAAAAACCAAGTAGGCATTGTAATTTTTTATGCGGAAACTTTAAAGCCAAGATTGAAACATTGAAATCCCCAGTCATCAATGCTAAGACAGTATGAGAATGTCTACAGAAACTAAATGAGCTGAGAAAACAAAATAAAGTAACCTTCCTCTGCATATTTTGTCAAAATCTGATGGATTCTGATCAAGAGCCGGGAATAATCATTTGATTAATTAATTCTTCAATGTAGCAATTGCTAAGATAATTACAAGATTCAAATCAAGCGCCGGTGTTGTCACTTTTCCACAACAGACAAATCTAAACTTTCCATTTTATAAGTAACAAGATATAACATCAACTAGAGCTGATAAAATTGTGAATTATGATAAACAAAAGCACAATTCATTGAAACACAATTCATGAATTGTTATTCAATTTACATGGGAAGATAAATAAAAGAAAAAATGAAGCAATTTTTCCTTTAATTTTCTTCTAATAATTGTCTACAATAATTTGCATATAAATTAAAACTAACTACTAATTTTCAATCCAAAATTGAAGCTCCTTTCTTAAGCTCAGTTTTCTTATACAATAAACATCTTGATTATTGTTTCAATGAATTGTATTTTTGATTAATGAAATTTTATTTAATCAAAACAAAACACTGTAAATTCCCTTTGAAAAAAAAGCAAACAACTCCTTATTATCATAATACCAATATTCCCATTTTCAGCGACGTTTTCTTGACTAGATTAACATCATTTTGATAATTTAGGTGCGAAGCCTATCAGATTTTTTATTTTCAATTTTGCACGTCCCTTATTGTAATTTAATCTACAATTTAAATTGTGTCGGTTTTTACTACACACGCCCCAATCTGTGTAAGAAACGTTTCGCTTAAGCCAAATTATTTACACAATTAAACCTCTACACAGACACTAATTATGACATATTTTTAATACAATGTTTTTTTTTTTGTTTGAAACTAGGAACATACTGTATCAAAAATATCTACTTTACATTTTTCAGTCCGTTTTTACTTTTTGTAACAATTAGTATCAAAAAATTAATTTAAATAACGTAATAGTCTCGCGCACCATTCAAGTTTGATGGTTTTTCAGCTACAATCTGTTTTTCTAATATTGTATGTCAAAAATTCATATCCAAAAATTCAATAATAATAATATTACAAAGCAACAATACTTATGATATTTAAATTATTTACATTATTATAATATTTACACTTCTCAAATAAATCTTTCTAGTACCACAGCGCCAATCCTTCAAAACTAATGTAAATCAATATAAATATCATAATTTTTTATATTCACCTGCGGTTGGGTCAGTCGAGTGCGTTCCCAATAAAGTAGAAAACGAAAACACACAGTCTAATACTCAACATTCATTAAAATAAAAATCTCAAAATTATAATAATAATAATTCTTAGCTTCTCATATCGTGTTTTCTCTATTGTTTCAAAAATGTTTGCCCTTATATTTCAATTAACTAAACAAAAAAAACAGTCTATTGGAAGATGCCCATGCTAGGGAGGGGCAATCTTTCGACTAAAAAAAACAATCCTACAATTAATATTACCCTAAAAGCTACTCGCTCAAACTTGCAAAAAATAAATAAATTACAATTAAAAAATATAAGTACAGGATTTGTCAAGACAATTGAGCCAATTAACCAACAAACAATTAATCATCGCTACAACAACTACATAAACAAAAATAATGGCACTTCAAAAAAAACAAACAAACAAAATCCTATACTTAAGTGCCCGTCTCTTAACAATAGCTTCAAGTTTGACCGAGTAGCCTCTTAGAGCAAATTATTTGCGTTCTTTTTACACTAGTGCAAAAAAAAAAATCTACTTTTGGGGCCCGGACTGGTAAGCGCCGTAAGGATCCTCGGGACTCGCGGCAGTGCTCGTGTGTTCCGAGTCGACTGGAATTGTGTGCAGGATTGGGTAGTGGGTCGCTGCAAAGTAATTCTGAAAAAGAGGATTTTTGTTAATGATTTTATTTAAATTCAAAATCTTGATAGGCAGCAAAAGTGTATATAAAATCAGGTCTGCTTCAAAAAAATTCTCTTTGATGTCTGCAAATTATTTCAAAAATGTTTTCCTTGCTTTTCCAAAGTTTCAGAGTCTACCCAAACTTTGGTAATCTGATAAAGATTTCAAGGTTCTTCGTTTTCAATTTTCCAAATTCTTCAATCTCTCAACTTCTGTAAAATATCTTCAAAATTATTTCGTTATTGATGATAATAATCATCTTTATTTCAAAATTGTGTAACAAAAAGAAATAACGTCAATCAAGAACGGAATAATAAATACACTAACAGGGTTTAGAAGTTGTTGTCTCTTCTTATTTTCATTATAAAGTTGTATTTTTTTCCATTTTAGAATCAGCCAAATAATATCCACAAAATTCAAATTCAAATTCGAATAATACAAGTGCTGCCATCTATCCACATTTGCGTAAAGTGCAAGTATGGATCGTTTTCCTGCTGGCCAAGGTTTCTAAAACGATCTCTTCTTGAAGAACACTCTGGCCAGGCAAGTCCTCTATTTTTTTAAAATAATTTTGTGCTGTGAATTTCTGGATCCTCCCTTATAAATATTTCAATATTCAAATTGTCATATTATCCGTTCACAATCCGATGTCCACTGGTACCGGTAAAATTTATCACCTTTCAATGCTATTTGATAGTGTTGGTTAGTACCACATTTTTGTTAAGAAGTAAGTCAAGAATTTTTGGGTTTTAAATAGGTACTGCTGCTCTGGCTTTCAGAAACAATTTTAGTGTGGAAAAATTGGACAATTTGCTCTAAATAGAGTCGGTGAAAACCAAATTTGTGAGTCCATCCCCATTAATTCTTCATTGAATCCAGACAGAGGCTTGAACAGCCATTTTCTGCTTGACTCCTAAAATTATTATCTTAACTAAAGGGTGTAATTTTTTAATAGAAATCCAGACAGGTCAAAAATTCAGTTAAAAAGTTTTAATTAAAACATCTCAAGAATTTTGACACATTCTGGATTTGATTAATTTCAACTCCAGCTTTATCTAGTATCTGTGGTAGCTACCTTAATTCGAGAGGAAAATTTTGTCTATTTAGGGGAGAATCCAGGGATTTCATTTCTTATTTTTTTACCTACCTTATTTTTGTTCATATTTTTGCCTGCCAGAACTGCTATCAGGAAAGTAGCATTTTGCTCAATTATAACGAGCATTTGAATTTAATCTTGTTATTATTCTAATTTTTTTTATTATCTTACCATTAATTATTTAATTATTTTTTTTATATTAAAATATATGTTTTTTAACTTGCAATAACTATTCATACCTGATTCTGTTGGAAGAGTGTTTGTACAACAATCGTTTTATACTAAATTTCAACTTCAATTTCTTTTGCAAGACACTCACTTTTTGACAGAATTCAGGAATTTAATGTTCCAAATATTGGTGAACCTGAGACTGCCTTATTCTTTTCTGGGTACCTACTCTACCTAAAGATCACTGTTTGGAGTCTGGATCAGCTGGAGTGACGTCACCCCAGCAATCTACCCTCTTCCTGGAAACAGGAAACAACGCCAAAAGTTCCAGTTCACGAAAGTGAAACCCCAACACCCATTGAAGAGCTCCGGATTGGAAAGGTACATACTGTATCAGATTCACCCGAACAACCAAGCTATATTGTTTACACTATTTACGCAACCAATATTGTACACTTAATAAAATTATTGTTTGATGGATTTTGAGTGGTTTCATTTGCACACAAAGGGGCTACACGTTATCTTAATTTTTCTTTGAATTCACGACCCTAGGTTATCTTTTCTCAAAGTATATAAATTCCAATTTTATTTGTAACAAAGTTGACACTTAATATTAGGAAAACGTATACCTACAATGAAACTTCAAATTCTACATAATCTATTTGTAGGAATACCACTATCTATGAGGAATACTGGCCATAGTTCGTCCTATGATATTTAACAGAAAACGGTTCATGATGTCTTAGAATAACTTGATAAATAGAAAACGATATTTTTTACAATAAAGTATCAATCCATTTGAGGTTTTGTATAAAAAAATTAGGTCTAAAAAGTCTCTCCTATTTTCTAATTCAGGTAAATGTGATAATTTACTAATGTCATGGTTAATCTATTGATTCAACAAGAATGCTAAGTTTGTAGCCTATAAATCTAAAACAAATTCTTTGGACTTTCAACTATTAATATGAAAATCATGTAGAAAGGAGATCAAACAGTTGAAACATATTCCAAAACAGATTAAATAAGAGAGCAGTATAAATTCTTAAAACTATAGATGTTTTTGTGTAACATAATGATAAAATCTATCTAAATCTTGTTGTATTAAGACGCAGTCATTCATATATATACCTGATACTTTTCTGAAAATTTTTAGGTCATCACAATAAAAAAGAACTTCGCAGTTTTTAAGACATTGCAAAATATCATTCAGAAAACAATTAAAGAAGATCGAAGATAAGTGCCCCCCTTGTGGAACTCCTGAAGTAACATGAATTGTGTCAGAACGACAGTTGTGCACCCTGACAGTCTTTCGATCAGGAAGAAAGCTTTTTATCCAAGAAAGAAGAGTACCATGGATACCCAGAGCTGACAGTTTTTGAATTAAAATATTAATATTTACTCTGTCAAAAGCCTTGGAAAAACCAGTGTAAATTAAATCTACCTGACACTTCCTCTCCAAAGCTTCCAACAAGTAATTTATGAAAATTGTCAGATTTGTGACAGTTGACCTTCAACTAATAAAACCATGTTGCTGTTCAATTGTTGTTTTTGATAATAGAGGACTGATTTTTGATGCATAGCTTTGTTCCAACACAGCAGGAAACCGTACAATGTACCGTTACGATTCTGCGCAAAGCCTAAAACTTGTGCGTAGAATTCGAAATTCGTATACAGAGTGGTTTCCTAACCGTTCATGGGACGATTTCTGACGTGTTGGAACCACTGATCTGCAAAAATAAATGGATAAACAAAGAACGCTTCTAATGCTGCTAATTTACGAGGTCAAAATCTAAACAAAAACAACTGACTGGGACAGCTGTGAGCGTGCGCAGTAGATACATGTACTGTGCGTGCACAAAATCTGGCCAATGAAAACGAAGGAATTTCAAAACTTAGAACAGTTGTTCGAAAGATAAGACACTGCGCAGGCGTTAGGCTGTTCCGTTGCACAACTGTTCGTAGAATATTGACTATTATTGACCCCAAATTTTCGCACAAATTTTGCCAATCAAGCCGTATGAATTGTTTATCCATTTTTTTTTAGATCAGTGGTTGGAACAGACCTAATAACTTTTCATTTAACGTTTCTACAATAATCTAAAAATTAGCCGTTCTCCGAAGATGAACGTAAATAAATCTGAAACCGTGCATAAAAACCCTATCAAACTATATATTTTTATACTTGTGTTCAATAGCGCATACAAAAAATATAAAAATATACAGGGTGTTACGTTAAAAAAAAAAAAATCTGATGTGTCACACTTATTTGACATCCTCTGTATATGCGCAAAAACATTAATACAAATAAACAAATCAATGATTTAAGCCCTACAACTTTTGTCTCTAACTTTTTGTCATCGAATATCTATATTTCCATATATCGAGCTAGAACAAAATAAACGGGCCACCCTGTACATAGACGATAGATTGAAATTTGAGTCCCATTTAACATACGTGAGCAAATAGGTGTCATCTGGATGTTATCGTTGATGTTATGCAGTCAGAATAATTGTGAGTAAGCTAGATCTTGGGATAACAAAAAGTGCATACGTTGCGCTCATTGAAACCCATTTGCGCTGGAATATGTTTCTGGGATTTTTGTTCATTGTCTCTTTTTAGTATGTTATTTGTGTTGCAAAAGAGGGCGGTAAGATGTATGTTCAAGATAGAATTGCGAGACTTGTTTTTGCGTCATCTCTTTGATAGCATGGGCTTCCTTCCTTGTAACATTACAAAGACGAGAACATTCTAATATTAGCCGCAGACAAAGGAAACGCGACTATAGTTATGAACAAAACTGACTATAACAGAAAGATGGTTGAACCTCTAAAACCCTCAACTTACAAAAAGCTAAGAAGAGATCCAACACAATCCGCAATCAAAAAAGTAAACCACCTGATTAAAATTTCTTCTTTGGAGGAACCAATCAAGAATAGCATACGCCAAAGTGAAGCTTCAATACCAAGATTATACGGATTACCCAAAATCCATAAGAAAGATGTACCTCTTCGTTCCATTGTCAGTACCATAGGCTCGCCGACATACACCCTCGCAAAACATCTGGCCACGATCTTGCTAACGCACATCGGACTAACGGATTCGTATATAAAGGACTCAACTCACTTCATAAAGAAGATCAGAAACTTCGAACTGGACAAAAACGACATTCTAGAGGGCTTTGATGTTGTCTCCCTGTTCACCAAAGTACCACTGTGTGAAGCAATGAGTGACTAACCCAAACATATATTTCCCAAAAACAAATCTGACCTGTTTAAGATTTGCCTTACGACATCGTATTTCACCTTCAACAAGGAGATATATGAACGCTATCACCACTTATCGCGAACTTCTTTATGGAAAAACTAGAAAAGAAAGCCTTGGACAGCGCACGTTTAAAACCAAAAGCCTGGCATCGATATGTGGATGACACTTTTGTGCTTTGGTCCCATGGTAGGGATAGCCTAAACGATTTCCTCGCTTATAATAACAGCATACACCCCAGTATCTAATTTACCATGGAACTAAAGGACAACGGAAAACTGGCTTTTCTCAATGTCCTAGTCACGAGAAAACAGAGACAACTAGGTCACACTGTGTACAGAAAACCAACACACAACAATCGTTACCTACATAACAGTTCAAACCAACGTTGAACGAGATAGCCGTGACATCATTTCAGAAGCCTTTCTACCTTATGTACAGGGTTATTCAC